AAGGTACAGTGAAGTTGATGATTGTCTGCTCAGCATGTGAATAAAAAGTTACTCAGTTTAAGCTGTGAGTATTATTTGTCATACTGTATATAAAAAAGGCACTTTCAAAAAGATATTACAGTGATTCTTAATTTGAATATTTTTAAATAAGAATGTGCTCTGTTACTAGAAGTTCAAATAAGGAAGGTAATCACGTGCCTTTCCGAATTATAATTTATATTCGTGGAGATATGTTGTGCACATCTTATAATAATCTCGTGTATTTTATAATCACATGCTGTTTCTAAAAATAATTTTAACTAGTGGATATACGATGTGCGCATCCCATAATAATCTGGTGTATTGTATACTAAATTACGATTCATCATCTAATAAATACTCCCACGCTGTTGAGAGATTCATTTCTTCTTTAAGATTGATGCAGGTTAGTTTGCGATTTGCTTTGTAAATTTTCATCGCTTCCAAAGTTCTTAGATGTTCATGATGACGAGTGGTGCGGATGACCCGTGCCTCATTAAAAATCGGGGTTATGTCTGGGTTTGTTGCATAGGCTGTCGTATATTTGTTGTGGGTGATGTCTGCTTTATGTTCCTTTATTCTGGTGGCTAACGGACGCTTAGTGGACCCTATGTAAATTAGTTGTCTTTGCCATCTATCGTCTATTAAGGGAATGGTGTATATTCCCGTTTATTACAGTGCTTAGGTTTATTACTAATTTCATTATTACTTCTAAAATTTCAGTAATTCACAAATCTACTTTCAGCTTTTTATAAAGCAATGTTACTTTTATTCAAACAATTCTTTTACATTTTTTTTTTATAATTGCAGATAAGTAATATTGAAATATGTGAGGCAGGTTGAATAACTTTTCAATAAATTCCATATCCTTATTTACTTTGATCACAGCAATTTCTTTATCAAAACTTAAAACAGACAAACGTGTCATTCCCACAGACCTAAAATTGCAAAGCATTTAATTTGAGCATAACAACTGCATTTCTTTGTAATACAGTATGTCCCATACTTAATTAACTGTAATTAACAAATTGTATTATATAGGATTAGTTTTACTTGAATTATTCTTAATTCATCATGCTAGTAGTAGTATAACTGTATAACAGATATAGACCACGGATATCTGTATAACAGATACCTTTTATTTTTGTAAATTTGAGGAGATGGTTTAGTAAAGATTAAGCAAATAACTAACTAATCTTTACTAAACAGACAAGTAGGTAGGTACTGTACCTAAATACTATAACAACCAAGTTTTTAGATTAGTAAGAGACCACAAATGAAAATTGATGAACTATTTATGGTATAGCAAATGAACTTCTTAGCAAATAGGATCGAAAATGTTCACTGTTTTGTAAACACGTATCACTGGAGTTTCAAAACATTTTGTGTGATGAATTATATTTATGGCTATTGAGTAATTTATTTTTTAGTCCTTTTTCCTATTTAAATCCTTTTCATTCCTTTTATTTTTATATTGCCTTAATTTTCAATTATGAGAATAAATTACTCAGTTAAAATAATCCTGAGCTTATGTATAATCATTTATGGCCATTTTCATTGTCCATTTGTGGCCAACTATCTAAGCATTAAAATGTATGTTATCTAGGAGATAAATTTGTAATCCAATTCTCTATTGTAGTTTTAGCAAATGAAAGACTAATAAACTTAAGGATTACTACATTGGCTTGACATTATATGTATGTAGAGTCTTGATATTGTCAGCATTAGATACAATAATCATTGTGTATTAATTGATATACCACTACTTCCCATGGGTGACTATACCATTTTTACTAGTGCTTCCCATCTTGGCACTTGAAAATATTACACTTTTTTCACCAGTCAATATAAAAAAATTAAAACTACACTTTTTCAATAAAAGAATACTGAATATTATTGAAATTTAATTTAATACACTAAATACATAGCAAATACACTGATTTAAGATAAAATAAAGCAATTAAATGCTCTAAGTAATAAATTAAAACATGAAAACAATAAATAAAATACATAAATACTGTATAGTAAAATGAAAACTGCATTTGCTAGTTGCACACAGTCAACTTCAGCATCGAAAACATGGCCTCCAGATCCACAGCATGTGAACCACTTTCATGTTTCATAAGTTTTTTTTTCACCTCAATTGTAGATACTAGAACCTTCCTCTTAGACTTTGTTGCTTCTATGAACTTCTTTCATGTCATGGTTAATAGGTAGGGGTTTTATATATATACATATACATAAACACACCAAAAGTAAAGCAAAAGAAGCTCAAGGCAAGAAATGCTTTCATACTAAGAGCTGATGAACTGGGCACACAATAGATGGCATTTGTGCAGGAGCACATTTTTTCATTGTGCATGCAGTTCAAACATAGAAACATCATTCAAACTCTGGGTCAAATTTCTCTTGAATTTAGTGTTCAAACTCTGAAAAAGTTACTCATTCAAAGTACAAAGTACCTCTGTTTATATTTTGTCTTTTACAACAGATTGCATCATTATTCATAAATTGTTCCTATTAAAGAATGAACAGTTATTTATTTTGACATCATCACAATGCTGGCTGCAATTTTTAATTAATTTAATTTAAAATATATGCTCTCCACTTCAAATTAGTAGTGACTTGCCCCTGTACATCATACTTTTTCTTTAACAATAGAGTCATGCCAACCATCTACCTAACACCTTTTGGCGGAGAATTTTTAAATTGAAATAACATGGCTTTCAGTTTGCATTAGAAGTTTGTACTGTATATAGTTAATCAGTTAATGGATTACATCGGTTTTAAAATTTGTACATTCCAGTTTATATTGTATCTTGAATATGTAAACCAGATGATGACCATTGGATATGGTTTAAAACATTTGTTAGTCATTAAAGTTTTCTTGTGTGGATATTTTAGTTTTATACTTGTGTGTTCATTTTATGTTTACATCCTATTTATTCTGGATGTAAACAAAATGATTGCAGTGCGTTTATTCTGTAGATTAGCAAAGAGCAAGATGGCTGACAATTTCTGATTCCGATGTGGATGTTCTTTATTTAGATTATTTAAACAAAAGTTTATCCTAATCCTGGTAGAATACTTTTGGAAACATGAGATCGTACAACACTGTATAGTAATTTTAAATTTCAAGAATCAGTTTTGATTTAAAAAGCTAGTTTTACATTAATTGTCAGTGTTAAATGAATCTCACTTTAACATAATTTTTTTCATTAAAGTACTTTTATTAAAATATTATGCATAGTGTCTGCCATATTTACTAATATACATTTTATCTACACTCCAATCTATTCCACACTTTCACTTACTCATTTGTTTTTCTATTCCATCTTTACTGTTGCTCTCATTAACACAACTGCACAATAAAAGTTTCTTGACTAACTCACTGATAGCTATCTGCTGAGTCAAAGTAACTCAAGCAATGAGCATAGCTTATTCTTTAAATTAGTGACAAGATTATATTCCATAAATGGTTTTATATAGTTTACATAGTAACTTGTGCAATTAGCCCTAAATCATTTTTTGTTTGTTTGCAGGATTTGGACTCTTGTACAATTTCAGCTGCTGAGCAAAAATTTTGAGCCATCATACTGGTGCTTTTGGCCAGTTTTAAATAGTCATTTGTGAACATTAAATATTGTCTGTTTTCTGTTTAATCTATAGTTTTGACAATAAGAGTTTTTATCATTTTTCTTTTAACTTTGAATGTAGACTTCTCTATAGAATGCAACTCTATTGCTTAAATCTTGGACATTTAACTTTCATATACATTTTAGGAACACATTATATCTTTAGTCTGGAGCTGCCTGTATTATATCAACAATTGCTTGCAGTTTTTTTTTTTTGGTAGCATCACTTCCATAAGGCAGTGATTTGCTGCTTATTTTTCACATGTAATTGCCATTCCTTCAATTTGATATTTCTGAGAAAACCTATAATGTATCTTTTCTGCACATGCCAAATTCCAACAACATACATTGTTAGTTTACAAAACAGTGCCCTTGACTGGATTCCCATGGGGGAGCCCTTCAAACTTTGTGATATCATGGGCTAATGTGAAACAAGTTCAGCTGGAAAGGAATGATCAGAGTCTGGTGTTTCTCAGAAAATGATTTTTCTGTAGTTTTTGGGCACAAGATAAACTGCAAAAACATTTAAATTGTTGACACTCATATTGCCCCAGGCTACCTTACAGAGACAAACTTACAAGGTTGTAGAAACTTGCAGACCATACGTCATTACATCATGCATAGCCAACAAACATCCATGACAACACCTCTACCTTTTGTGACAATCTTGAGGGACCTCTACAATGTCATTTTGATAACATCAGGACAGAAAATTGCCACATTTTACATGTGATCATGTGACAATAAAGAAAAATTGTACATGACTGCATGTGTAAGGTGGCAATTTTCCATAGTGGTTTTTTTTGAAGGCCTGTGGTAAGCAGAAAAAAGTTTACAACTGAAATTTTTACACATTAAGAACATGGAAGTACAACTCAATTTGGTGAAAAATGCCTACAAAAAAAAAAACTAGTAGCTGCTGAAAATTGCCACTATGGCATGCAATCACAGATTAATTATGATGTTAATCAAAAGTAATGTTGAAATAAATCTGCAAATTGCTTAATTTTAGCAATAGCTGATTATTTTTAATGTTATTTGTATGTGTATATAATTTTTTCTAATAACTATTGATCAGAAAAAATATGTACAAAAATAATTATTTAACAAAGGTTTAATGAATTTTGTTGTAAATAATAAGTTTACTATTTAAAACCTGAAATTCATTCTGTACAATGCAAACTTTCATAATTAATTTTTTATTCACTTTTTTTGTCTTATTTCAATATTATATTTTTAAATTCAATAAATATTTCTTTTGTCATTCTTAATATGGATTATTATTCTGACAAAACTTCACCAGATTGCTAATTTTTTTTATAAATTTTACACAAATTGTTTGTTTAGGCTGCAACACTTCGCCCATATTTAACAGCAGTTCGGCATACCTTGAATGCAGCCATGTGTTTAGAGAACTTCTCATCACAAGTAGTTGAAAGACATAATAAACCAGAAGTTGAAGTGAGGTAAAAATAATTTTTAAAAGAATTTATCCAAAATATTTAAAAGTTTCATATTTCTATATTTATATTACAGAAGTAGTAAAGAATTATTATTAACACCAGTGGTAATTAGTAGAAATGAAAAGGAGAAGGTTTTAATTGAAGGCTCTGTTAATTCACTTCGTATCAGCATAGCTGTCAAACAAGCAGATGAAATTGAGCGAATTCTTTGTCACAAATTCATGAGGTTCATGATGATGAGAGCAGAAAATTTTATTGTTTTACGGAGAAAACCTGTAGAGGTATTTATCTAATTTTGATTTACTATAAAAATATGTTAATAAATAATTTACAAATTTAGATTATTATTATTAAAAAATCTTCTAATAATGTTATCAACGTTAAACAAAAATAATATTGTTAAGTTTTTTAAATAAATTACTAACATTGAATGGAAAAAATATGAATCTAAACTTTCCTTATACAGAAGAAGACAAAAGTTTTAATTTAGTTTTATTTACTTTTTATTTATTTAATTTTTTTATACAAGGAATATTACAAGATTCAATAAATTTTTGTCAATGCAACATTGAATCATTTATTCATCTGAAGTTTGAGTTTTGAGTTAATAATTTATCAAATTTCAGATTTATTACATAATTCTTATAATTTAAGCTATAAATTTATTTTTTGCTTTTGGAAATTTGTTTCCAAAAGCAAAAAAATATGAGTAATTCCGTATGTATGATAACTTCATTTGATAGCAACATTAGTTATAGGTTTTTAATATAGTAATTAATTATTATAATAATTACATTGTTTATAAATAGAAAAAATATCAAAAACAAAAAATACTAAATTTGAAAAAAGAATTATATTATTTCTCAGTATATCGGGTATACTCGAAAGACATATAATATCAATTATAGACAACAATAAAAACAAAAAGATGTAATAACAACAATTACATGAAACCCAATCTAAATGACAAAACAGATATTAATAACAATTCTTTAGACTGTTAAATAGACTCCTAAATTGCACTGGTAAATTAAATTAAACAGCTATATAGAGAAGAAATGCCACCTTTACAAATAATAAATACATCAAGTATACAAGAAATTAAAATGCATACAAAATAACTAGAATACTAATAGATTTTAAAATCTTGAATAATAAAACAAAATTTTGAAAATTCCTTCAGAACAGATGTGAAATACTTTTTGGAAATAAATTAAAATTAAAGTATTAAATAATCAGATAACATTCTTTGACAAAAAATTTGCACACTGGCACACTGAGAAGCAAGTGTTGGAATTGAATGAAACTTTATGCATGTAATGATAAAGATGGAAATAATTGATTACAATATCATGACAAATGTGCTGTTTAATTAGAAATAACTGTACAGTTTAATATTTTAGATAGTATCTTATAGCACCTCCCTCTGGCATCTATATATGCAAAGATATTGGTCTGGTATACAGAGTTAGAAATGTTCTATGATGTTTTGTGATATATTTTCCCAAAGATTTTGTAACTCTCTCCAGATTCTGCATACTGATTGTTAGCTGAAGTTGCTAATACCAGCATGTCCCACACATTAAGTATACATGATAAATCTGGAGCCTGACTGGATCAAGAAAGTATGTCCACATCACGGATGCACACATGAGAAATCTGAGTTATGTGTGGACAGGCATTGTTCTGTTGAAAAATGATTCATTGTAGAAGTGCCATGAAAAGCAACATGAGGACACAAAATCTTTTGCTTGTATCAATTAGAAGTCAGTGCTCACTGTCAATGCACATGATTGCTATTAATGGAAACTGATCACATAGGAGAGTTCTCTATACCAGTGTTGGCAGAATTGCATGTAACAGTGAAGCTGGGATTTTGGCATATCCCAGTCTTTCTCTATACTCAGATAAGGTGGTGATTTGTGCCCACCTAGAAGAGAGATTCATTACTAAAGAAAATGTGTTGCCATTCCAAGACCACCCATACTTATGACATACTACTGCTAGTGTCAGTGTGTTAATATAGTCAGTTAAAAACATCATGAATTCAGTCCTGCTTCTGCAAATCACCTTGTAATCATTCAGGATGATAACCAGTTCTTAACACTTCCCTAACTATCTCTGGGCAGTGGAGAGAGTTCAATAAAGAAATACTTTGATAGTCTAGCAAATTGACTTTATTTTATTGAAAAAATATTTTCAACTATTATTTAATGGTCATTCTCTGGCCATATATCAAAAATGTGGAATAGAACAAATTTCAAAACATTTAAACTTATCATTGTTTATAAGAACATATGTTTTTTCAGTAGAAGTGATTCATAATTTAAGGAAGGCTCCATCCTACCATCAATAGATTGTGCTATACATTAGATCAGCATTTCTCAAAGTATGGGTCATGTTAAAATTTTAATGGATTGTAAAATTATACTATCTTTGCAGAAATAATTGTAATATTGAAATATTCTCAAAAAACTAGGAACAATAGATGCATCTGTTAAGTACTGAAAATTTTTTAACAACTTTTTTCTTATAATTGTTGTTGTCTTTAGTAATAAAATTAAGATTAAAGAATATGTGTAAATGAAATAGATTTCTTTTTTCTATTTTGAATATTTTATGTAAGGTCATAGTCATAAAGCTATTTAAATTGCAATGGTTTTGAAAATATTTTTTGTATATTCAAACTTTTAGGTTTATTGTCATACATAATAATTTATAAAAAATAAATGACTCATAAATTTTTGCACAAGTGGATCAATAAATAATTTTTTTGTGTGACAAAATTTTCTTACAATCTGAAAAGTACATTTTAAAAAGGTTTCATTAAGTTTGTACAGAAGAAAATCTTGTAGTAATTTTTCAAAGTAAAATAAGACTCCTGATAATTTTGAAAGTGTTTTACTTACAATCACTAATCTTACATTTTTTAATAGTTAAATTTCAATAATAAAAACTGAAATTGAGGTAAGTTATTTGTTACAAATTGAAATTGGCCTGAACTGCTCTTAATGGAAATGTACTCAGTGTTATATTTCACACACAGAAGTTGTTAATAATATCAATACATAATTTTATTTCATTATATAATACATGTGACTCCAGTTGAATCAAAGAAGAGTCACAACATGGTTTCAGATTATAAAAAAAAACTGCACTAGATATGTCAACACTATCATTATGTGATGTAAAAAACCATATACAGTGAAAACTGCTTAGGCGACCACCTGCATTGGACGGGTACCTGTCAAAATGGGCAAAAATTTCTGGCACGGAATTTTCAATTTACATAATAAGTTACCTGTATTAAACGACCACCTGTCTAAAAGACCACTTTTTGAAGGAACCGTGGGTGGTCGCCATAGACAGGTTTTACTGTATATAACAATTCCTTCAACACATGAATAATATAGACTTGTCCTAGGGTTAGAGCAGGAAAGTGACATTGTGGTATATTTTTTGGATCTGCAAATATATCTCAAGAATGGGCACATCATTACCAATATATATTAGAGACCATAATACTCTTCTTTTTTATACTGGCAATCTCTGTAGATCCATTCAATATAAACACTTGGCATTCAAGGCCCTAATAGGATATTCCTACATTCATTGTTCAAGCATGCTACACACAACCACAAACAAAGAGTTGAACTAAATTTTACCGGTGGCTATCACACATGGTTACCCTAAGAAATCAATAACATTGTGAAAACACAATGCACTGAAAAATGCTGTTACAGTAAACCCCCTATAACACTGTTGATAATTTTGTGTTATATGAATTTCATGTTGTAGAAGTCACTTAGATTTTACAAATACGTGTGCCGGGCTGTGAATGGCACACATATTTGTAAAATCTAAGTGACTCATACAACATGAAATTCATATAACACAGAATTATCAAGTGTTATAGGGGGGTCTACAGTATTATTAAAAGTTAACCAGATGCCTATAACTTGTTCAAGAAGTGCTATATACATTTTTTGGCTAAATATGTATAGATGATTCATTTTGGACAAGGGATAGACTTCAGGTATTGATTACTGCATTTGTGTTGATAAATTACTTTCCAAATGTGATTAAATTGTTAACATTTTATGGATTACAATTCACATCTGTTTATGAATCTGCTAAATGTTGCCATTTGTCTCATTAGAAGTAATAATTTACATAAGTATAACAAACATGATGAAGCCTGATAAGTATAGAAACATCACCAAATGATAACCTAAATAATCGAGCTATAATTCCACTAATTTAAATAATGAATACAAAGTAATTTGCTACTAGAGGTAGATGTTAGGTGCCATTTCTTAACTAAACTACAGTAGAGCATTGTTTATCCGAATCAATTGGGGACTGGGGTGGTTCGGATAACTTATTTTTCGGATAACCAATTATGTACGAAAAAATTATTAATTTATTACATGTTGAAATTTTTTTCCGTTGCGTGTCGCTTCGCGTTGAATTTTCGTTGATGTTAAGCCTAACGAAGACTATTGTATCGTTAAAAATTATTTTTTTATTTTGTAGAAACAAAATAAATATATTGAAAAATATAAAAGCAATAAAAAAATTGTACTTCAGAAGTTAATTTAGTATCAAAAACGTAAAATATTTGAGTAGCCGAAGACATAGCCAAAGATTACAGCGCCACAGCACTGGCGAAAATTTAAATTTGTCGACTGGAATTCCTTCGGATAACCGACGTTTCAGATAACCGACCTTCGGATAAACGACGCTCTACTGTA